GAACAGTGCCCCTTCAGGGGTCTAGTTTACTCATTCCAAAAGGGAACATGTTGCACAAATAAGCCTCCACACCATCATCCTCGCTGGCAGGGGAAGGGAGCAGAATTAACCTCAGTCCACCATCCCCCTTCCATCCAGGCTCCTTACCAGCAAGGGCCCTCTTGACTCAGAACACTCTTCTGGAGTCAGGGCTGTGACAGATATTGCAAATATCTGTTTCTCCTCCTACCCTTTGTCCATCTGGCTGTTTAGGTTGTAAACCCTCTTGGGGAGGGACTGTTTCTTACCATGTGTTTTTACAGCATCAAACACAACTGTAAGGGGACCTGATTGAGGCCTCTGGACAGTGCCATAATACAAATTATTTCAAGTGCAATACTGCATTTGTGTTTTTACATGGTAATGTGTGTGCTCATTATAACAGGGTTACACATACTTTTGAGGATTTCATCATCACACTTTCTTCACACAGCAATACGTCATACCATATAGTCAACTAAAAACCCTTCTATGACAATAACAATCAAAAGTCATTATACAAATTCCAAGCAAAACAGTGAAAGCTCTCAAACAATGCCACATTACCGAAACTAAAGTGTGTGTAGAAATCCATTCTTCTGTTAAAATGTCAGAAGTTCACCCTCATCACAGGAAATAATTAGTCTTTTTAAAAAAAGAAGAGTGAATGCAGAGATGAAAAGGTCAGATTTTTGTGGGGGAGAGAGATCAGGCAATCTGAAAAGCAACACTTTTCAGGGAGGTCTCTACACCTTTCTTGGGAGTCCTAAGGATCTTCCATTTCCCCACAATTTTATCCAAACGCATCATACCACTATTTTTCTAACCATAGGCTGGAACCAGTCAACAATCACTCAGACAACCAGATAAACTGATCCTGATCAAAGAAAGTGATGATCTCTTGCAAGGACTGGGCATGCTGGTGTTGCTGCAATTTAGCCTAGATCTACCCTATGGTGAGAACTTGGTGCAGGGAATTCAACAGAACATTGCCACAAGGCCCACCGGACCCAGAGATAAACACTATTTAAAAGAATTTTGTGCAATCTTCCTCCTGATGGTGTTTATTCTTCCACAATTTGTCTATTTTGTACAAACAGATATCAGATACGCCATGACTGTCATTTGTCTAAATTACAATTATTTAGATCAGAATCAGGGTCTGCTCTTAGTCTCTTTCCCAACAAATACACCTTGTCAAGGTTCCTCCCCCACTCTGAACTCTAGGGTACAGATGTGGGGACCTGCATGAAAAACCTCCTAAGCTTATCTTTACCAGCTTAGGTCAAAACTTCCCCAAGGTACAAAATATTCCACCCGTCGTCCTTGGATTGGCCGCTACCACCACCAAACTAATACTGGTTACTGGGGAAGAGCTGTTTGGACGCGTCTTTCCCCCCAAAATACTTCCCAAAACCTTGCACCCCACTTCCTGGACAAGGTTTGGTAAAAGCCTCACCAATTTGCCTAGGTGACTACAGACCCAGACCCTTGGATCTTAAGAACAATGAACAATCCTCCCAACACTTGCATCCCCCCTTTCCTGGGAAATGTTGGATAAAAAGCCTCACCAATTTGCATAGGTGACCACAGACCCAAACCCTTGGATCTGAGAACAATGAAAAAGCATTCAGTTTCTTACAAGAAGACTTTTAATAAAAATAGAAGTAAATAGAAATAAAGAAATCCCCCCTGTAAAATCAGGATGGTAGATATCTTACAGGGTAATTAGATTCAAAAACACAGAGAACCCCTCTAGGCAAAACCTTAAGTTACAAAAAAGATACACAGACAGAAATAGTTATTCTATTCAGCACAGTTCTTTTCTCAGCCATTTAAAGAAATCATAATCTAACACGTACCTAGCTAGATTACTTACTAAAAGTTCTAAGACTCCATTCCTGGTCTATCCCCGGCCAAGACAGACTATAGACAGACACACAGACCCTTTGTTTCTCTCCCTCCTCCCAGCTTTTGAAAGTATCTTGTCTCCTCATTGGTCATTTTGGTCAGGTGCCAGCGAGGTTACCTTTAGCTTCTTAACCCTTTACAGGTGAGAGGAGCTTTCCCCTGGCCAGGAGGGATTTCAAAGGGGTTTACCCTTCCCTTTATATTTATGACACACCTATGCACTGATGACTTTCAGAAGTTGTTGTATTTTAAATAGTCTATAGTAGAATTAAGATTCTAGAGAATTTTAAGGCAGTTGATGGTGAAGAAATTGTTTTAAAAGGCTTCAATAATTCAGAAGATGGAATTCATTTCCAAGAGATTCCAATTAAGGAATGTCGATCATAACAACCCAGCTTTGTTGCTTCTAGGTAAATTAAGAATATTTTCAAATGTAGATGTGAGGACAGTTTGAATTCTACCTAAAATAGATACGTAAAAGGCTTACCTGGGACAGAACTATGTACATTTAACAGTCAAGAGACCCAGCAAATGGAAGGCTAATTCCCTCCCACACTTTACTTGAACACTAAGTCATAAATTTGATTGCTAACAATAAGGTGCACTGACACATTTTCACTCACCTGAAAGTAAATGGACCAGCCAATGTTACATAATTGTTAAAACAAAACAGCAACAGACGTTAAGAAAAAAATGGAACAATGATGTATTGGTTAAATCTAACCTGTATTATTTAGCTTAACTATTTTTTAAAAGAGTACAATATGGATTTAATGGCATTGAGAGAAGTTACTCGAACATGAACATACCAGTACCAGTTGTCCTGTTCAACAACTTACACAGGTTTCCATTTTGATTTCTGACACTGACATTTGAGACATATAGCTGGTATTGTCCTGTCAAAACATGTCATACAGTATAATCCGCATTCTCCTAGATGCCAAGCTTTTTTGTGTGCATTCAAAAAGCTACAGTATCAAATTAATGTCCTGGTAAGTAAAGTATACTAGTTGAGGGTCTGATAAAGCAAGATCTGTCTAGCTTTCATGCCAGTGAGCCTGCAGAAGCCAAAAACTTTGGATTCTTCTCTCAAATATACCATATAAGCATTTTTGGCTGAAATGGTCTAGAGCCACATTATACCCTTGATCCATGCACATGATTCTCTTGAATATTGATGGAAATTATGGGCATAGATTCACAGTACAATATGGCCAGATGCCTGCACTTTCGTAGTATGTTTAAAAACTCCAGCATATCACACACAGTACGCATGATTCTCCTCTTATCTTGTCGTAAACCAAAGACATACATCCATGCAAGGCCATAGAATTGCACCACCGTAAAACAGGGTTAGGTGAGATTAGACTCAGCCCAATAAAAGGGCCCGAATGTGAGACCCTTATGTTAAATAGCACCATATCAAATGTCCTCCTATTGAATTTAATGGGAGTAATTGTGGAGTAAGGTGCTACTCATCAAGAGAAAGGGTGTCAGAATCTGCCCAAGCAGTATTTCATTTTGGAACTTCATGATAACAATAAAAGAGTGTTACTAGGAGCCAGATGCCACACCTGTGTAGATGGGAAAATGAGAACCAAATGCAGCGGAAATGGATCATTTCTGCTGTCAGGTGGCCCATACCATAAAGAACCCACATACAGGGATGCCACAACCCTTTGAATGTCACAGAGCAGAGTTCTGTAGCAGCTGGTCTCTATTTAGGGTGTGACCATAATTATCTTACTTGTGGACAGAGCGGAATTTTGCATTTAAATCAGATTTTTGCTGGTATTGCTGCTTGAAATAAGATTAACAGTTTGAATTTCCCTTAATTTAGTCACTTCCTTCACTGGGAAAATAATATCTATCATATAATATAACAATTATATTCTACAGGATTTTAAAAATCACAACTTTCTTTTCCATTTTTCTTCATTATTTGCTGCTCTTCAGTCGACGAAAGAGAAAACACCATTTAAAATGTAAGGTGAATAACCTTAGACTGCACTGAACCTCAAATTGTAAATATCTCTATCAAAAGCAAAGAACTGGAAGTAGCAAAGCACTTGCTTAATTTTTGAAGCATGCGAATAGTGCTACATGCTTAAGTTCTTTACTGGATCAGGACCTAACTTATGAACACAGAATACAGATCTTTCCTTAAATTCTTCTCAATATCAGTAAGGGCATTCAAAATTACAAGTGATACTTTTCTACTCATGAGAGCTGAAATGGCAACTTCACGAAGGTTCAATTAAACAGAATTCCTGATGCAAAATTTTTAAATGCATTAATTTAAAACAGTAAAATAAAGTATATTTAATGAATTTGCTGTGTACCCTGCAGGTGGAGATTTGGCTTGAATTGTATTAAGGCACAATAAATGCAAATAATGTACACATTTTCACAATGTGTTTTGCAGAAGATAACTTTCTGCTACATAGTGTTTACTGATGACAAGTCTTTCAATAAGTATTTCCTCTAGTTATTTTAATACTTTTTTCTTTGATTACCTGGATAAAAAGAGGAATGTATATTCAATTATTTAAATATTGGGGCAGTGCAAAATACAAGCAAAATGCGACCATTTTCTTCTAAAATACAGTAGATTGATACTGATTTTCAGCATTTGGATCTCAGCAAAGGAAAACTGAAATTTTTACATTAATTTCTACACACCATACCTGTATTACATTTTAATTTAAAAATTAATACTTATAACAGTATGTTCACTTATTTCTATAAAAATGTATTTTTGGTTGGTTCAGTTCTTGTTTCTGCCAGTTTGTAAAACTGCTTTAAAAAGATGGCTTATATAAAAAGTACTGCATTAGAAGATGGTGTGTTATATTATCAAAACTGCGGTAAGACAAAGTTGTCATTTTAAAGTGACACTAAACAAACTGATTTTACATGCTTTCCAAATGGGAAAACAGAGAAACTCCAGGTTTTGTAATCATCTCTAAAACTGCACCCCAGAATTGTTAGATGCCTTGCACCTGTGATTTAAAAATGAAAGTCTCCACAATGTAACTTTAAAAAACAAACAACAACCTAGGTCTGCCTAATTCCTTTAGTAATGGAAATTTATTTAGATGGAAATGATAAATGTATTGCACTGAAATTAAAGAGCTAGAGAGATGAAACATTTTTCTAAACATTAAATATGATTGTTGTCTAGTGCAAAAAGCTCCCCTCTAAACACTGTCAGTCATCCAGTTTAGATGGTTTCAGGTTTGCATTCTACAGAAAGCAATCATGTCTACGCTGGATCACAGTGCAGTTTCATAAATGATTAATCCTGAGGCAACATCTTTTGAAGAATCTGTGACAATTTGACCATTCTGAATAATTTCTGGGTAATTTTTACTGAAGTAGACCTAGAAAAAGAAAACATACATACACTGATTAATTTTACCCACCACTGTTAAACATTTTTTAGTTTCAAAAGACATAGTTCTCCAGATTAATGCAATGTAAGCACAGAAATTAATTTCCATCAGGAAACTGAACAGGAACTTTAGTTTAACAAAATTCAAGACATAGCTCCTTATTCACTGAGGAATTAGTAAAATTACTGTCCGATCTTTCTCTCTGATCAGAATAAAGTGTAACTGAATCCTCACATGACCTGTAGATCCATTCAAGTTAGATATAGTATATCACTTTGCATTAAACAGATAAGTAAAATTATTTTACTGGCTCAAAACATGGAGATAAATTAAAAACAGGATGACAAAGAGGCTGGGAAATCTAGAGTCCGCACAAGGGTTTCTCATTTTCACACATAAAATGAACACAATGGATCTGGATGTTAATATCAGGTTGTAATCCTTATATTTTACAAACTATGATTGACAACCATTGAAACTTCACAGTATATGTATGAAATATCCCAGCGTTTAATTTGTGCTGCAGGGCAGTTATAGGGCCTATAGAAATGTGATCTCTGGATAGTGTACCACAACAATGAAAGGAGAAGCAAAAGCCTTAACAATGACTCAACCAAGCAACTTCTCTAAAATGTAAGATGATACCAAATAATAGGACAGTTCTTTGCCAAGCCTTTGAGTTCTTGAATTCTACCAATTTCTAGCTGAACTAGAAGAGATACAGGTTTCCTGATAAATGTATAATCAGAACATAAAGGAAATGAAATGCTGTCAAGTTTCACTGTTCCACAATCATCAGTTTTTAGTAGCTGTATCATATCTCTGTTCCTTGACAGATGCGCATTACAAAATGAAATAATGTCAAGACTTGTGTGCTCTTATCTGAAAATGTGTTTGGGTGAGAAAGGACTTCAAATGTAATTTTTTCAAAGAAGAATGTGAAAAGTTTTGTTTGAGTCTTTAAAAAACAGAAAATACGCGATCTTTCTGAGGCTGACATGTGTCACAAGTTAGGTCTCATATTCATGCTGTCCTGAATATGGCTTGTGAAACATTTCTCCTATTTATATTTTGGGGGGCACTGTCAACAAAGTTAGCTTTGCCTGATAATTATGTTCTTTTCATATCTGAATAAATGTATAGGACATAGGATATAAAAAAGAAATAGCTATATTATACAAAACCTCCTATATGTATGAATGTCTCCCTTTGTGTACACACACACACTAATGCAGTGTATTTGTACAATTTCCAAAGAATATTAAGGTTATGATTTGAATCAACAAAAGGACTGGAAGTCAAGTATTCTCCAGTAACCAGCCATAATGGGGCGCACAAGAGGAAAAGTAATCTAGTGCCTGGCTGCATCTACATATTGGCCATTGAAGCCTTGGTAGTTCACTTCCATCTTTTTACTGATTTAAGACATAATTTTAACATATTTTTACTGGAGCTTTTGACAGTGAATTTTCTTAAGAAAAGGTAATAGAAAACCTCAGCACATTACCGGGGATACAATGAAATGGCAGTAGTTTTTTCAACCATCTCACTGTACGTGTACGGGAATCCTTCACCTGGGGCCTGATATCGCAAGATGCGGAATGCCCACAGTTCAAGTGTGTAAGGTGCTTAGAGCCTCACATAAGACAGATCTTCCACTAACATTAACAGGTCAGTAATGACATTAAAACGTCTATACAGTAATGACTGTGCATGCATAATAGCTGATATTTAAATATATATTTGTAAGCAAAAATCTTTTATCAATATATCCAAAGGCTGTTAATACAATAACTGCCCACTCCTGGTGCCACTTGAAGTCAAGAGCAAAGCTTCCCTTGACATCAGGATTGGAGTCCAAATGGTAAATTTTGTTTATCTGAATAAATCATTGTTGAGTGTGCAGCAGTGGGGTAAAATAAGCTAAACTCAATGAACATGTTGTTCTGTCCAACAATTATTTCTCTTTTTCTTATGATGATCTCCTAACAGCTCCTTTTAAATTGAACATAGATAACAACAATGTTCACTTAGGGCTCAATCTTGCAGAGTGGCTTTGAGGTGGCTGAGCAGTGTCACACAGCATTCAGACTCATAAGCAATTCTGAGCATGCTCAGCAGGATGGACTTTGAGCTGCATCATACTATGCCAGGGTTGCTACCTTTTACATTTGCAGAAAAATAATAAGAAATGCTAAGTGGCTGAAATGGGCAGAATTCTCTGACTGGTTTATGAATGTTATAATTCTTGACATCTGACTTGTGTCCATTTATTCTTTTACGTAGAGACTGTCCAGTTTGACCAATGTACATGGCAGAGGGGCATTGCTGGCACATGATGGCATATATCACATTGGTAGATGTGCAGGTGAACGAGCCTCTGATAGTGTGGCTGATGTGATTAGGCCCTATGATGGTGTCCCCTGATCGACTCCTTTTCTTTTTGCGAGTTCAGACTAACACGGCTGCTACTCTGAAACCTGTCATTATGCAAGGCACTGCATTTAGCCGTATGGAGTGGAAATCTATCAACTTCATGAAAAAACTCGTACAGATAGACATCATCTTCCTTTCCAAATGCAAACAGATGGACATCATACCAAAAGGACTGAAGGTAAAAAATCCATTACAATCTACATACCACACAGACTATGCTGACAGCTTGTGTCACACGCTCTCAAAGAAACTGCAGAACCACCTGATCAACATCCTCTACAGCAAACAGGGAAAGATTAAGAATGAGCTCTCAAAACTGGATACTCTCATAAAAAAACAACCTTCCACACAAACTTCCTCGTGGCTAGACTTTACTAAAACTAGACAAGCCATTTACAACACACACTTTGCTTCTCTACAAAAGAAAAAGGACACTAAACTATCTAAACTACTACTTGCCACAAGGGGCCACAGCAATGGTTCCCTTAACCCACCCAGCAATATTGTTAATCTATCCAACTATCCTCTTAACCCAGCAGAAGAATCTGTCCTATCTCGGGGCCTCTCCTTCTGCCCCTCCACACCCACGAACATGATACAGTTCTGTGGTGACCTAGAATCCTATTTTCGACGTCTCCGATTCAAGGAATATTTCCAACACACCTCTGAACAACATACTAATCCACAGAGACCTTCCTACCAACACTACAAAAAGAAGGATTCTAGGTGGACTCCTCCTGAAGGTCGAAACAGCAGACTGGACTTCTACATAGAGTGCTTCCGCCGACGTGCACAGGCTGAAATTGTGAAAAAGCAGCATCACTTGCCCCATAACCTCAGTCGTGCAGAACACAATGCCATCCACAGCCTCAGAAATAACTCTGACATCATAATCAAAAAGGCTGACAAAGGAGGCGCTGTTGTCATCATGAATAGGGCGGAATATGAACAAGAGGCTGCTCGGCAGCTCTCCAACACCACTTTCTACAAGCCATTACCCTCTGATCCCACTGAGGGTTACCAAAAGAAACTACACCATTTGCTCAAGAAACTCCCTGAAAAAGCACAAGAACAAATCCGCACAGGCGCACCCCTGGAACCCCGACCTGGGGTATTCTATCTGCTACCCAAGATCCATAAACCTGGAAATCCTGGGCGCCCCATCATCTCAGGCATTGGCACCCTGACTGCAGGATTGTCTGGCTATGTAGACTCCCTCCTCAGGCCCTACGCTACCAGCACTCCCAGCTATCTTCGAGACACCACAGACTTCCTGAGGAAACTACAATCCATCGGAGATCTTCCTGAAAACACCATCCTGGCCACTATGGATGTAGAAGCCCTCTCCACCAACATTCCACACAAAGATGGACTACAAGCCATCAGGAACAGTATCCCCGATAATGTCACGGCAAACCTGGTGGCTGAACTTTGTCACTTTTTCCTTACCCATAACTATTTCACATTTGGGGACAATGTATACCTTCAAATCAGCGGCACTGCTATGGGTACCTGCATGGCCCCACAGTATGCCAACATTTTTATGGCTGACTTAGAACAACACTTCCTCAGCTCTCGTCCCCTAATGCCCCAACTCTACTTGCGCTATATTGATGACATCTTCATCATCTGGACCCATGGAAAAGAAGCCCTTGAGGAATTCCACCAGGATTTCAACAATTTCCATCCCATCATCAACCTCTGCCTGGTCCAGTCCACACAAGAGATCCACTTCCTGGACACTACGGTGCTAATAAGCGATGGTCACATAAACACCACCCTATGCCGGAAACCTGCTGACCGCTATTCCTACCCATGCCTCCAGCTTTCACCCAGACCACACCACACGATCCATTGTCTACAGCCAAGCTCTATGATACAACCGCATTTGCTCCAACCCCTCAGACAGAGACAAACACCTACAAGATCTCTATCAAGCATTCTTACAACTACAATACCCACCTGCTGAAGTGAAGAAACAGACTGAAAGAGCCAGAAGAGTTCCCAGAAGTCACCTACTACAGGACAGGCCCAAAAAAGAAAGTAACAGAACGCCACTAGCCATCCCCTTCAGCCCCCAACTAAAACCTCTCCAACGCATTATCAAGGATCTACAACCTATCCTGAAGGACGACCCATCACTCTCACAAATCTTGGGAGACAGGCCAGTCCTTGCCTACAGACAGATCCCAACCTGAAGCAAATACTCACCAGCAACCACATACCACACAACAGAACCACTAACCCAGGAACCTATCCTTGCAACAAAGCCCGTTGCCAACTGTGCCCACATATCTATTCAGGGGACACCATCACAGGGCCTAATAACATCAGCCACACTATCAGAGGCTCGTTCACCTGCACATCCACCAATGTGATATATGCCATCATGTGCCAGCAATGCCCCTCTGCCATGTACATTGGTCAAACTGGACAGTCTCTACGTAAAAGAATAAATGGACACAAATCAGATGTCAAGAATTATAACATTCATAAACCAGTTGGAGAACACTTTAATCTCTCTGGTCACTCGATTTCTGATCTCAAAGTGACTATCCTTCAACAAAAAAACTTCAAAAACAGACTCCAATGAGAGACTGCTGAATTGGAATTCATTTGCAAATTGGATACAATTAACTTAGGCTTGAATAGAGACTGGGAGTGGTTGAGTCATTATACTAAGTAAAACTATTTCCCCTTGTTTATTACTCCCTCTCCCCCGCCACTGTTCCTCAGATGTTCTTGTTAACTCCTGGAAATGGCCCACCTTGATTATCACTTCAAAAGGTTTTCTCTCCCCTCACCCCACTCTCCTGCTGGTAATAGCTCATCTTAAGTGATCACCCTCCTTACAATGTGTATTTTTTCATGGTCTGTGTGTATATAAAATCTCCTCACTGTACTTTCCACTTTATGCATCCGATGAAGTGAGCTGTAGCTCACGAAAGCTTATGCTCAAATAAATTGGTTAGTCTCTAAGGTGCCACAAGGACTCCCTTTCTTTTTGCGAATACAGACTAACATGGCTGCTATTCTAAACGTAGCAAAGAGACTGTGATAAAGGACAAGAGAGAATACTGGGATGTGGAGCTGAAGGGGTGGGGTATTGGGACAAGGATAGGCTGGAGGGGTCAGGGGCAGAAGTGTCTGTAGCCACTAAAGTCCCCTCAGAATCTAGAATAGAAAACAGGATTCCAGAATCAATATTCCTCTCTACTCAGCAAATAGCTGTATAACCAACTGGCAAAATTTGTACTACATTTACCTCCCGTGGCTGGCCCACACAGATGACAACCTACTACTGAGATCGGCTACTCCTTTAGCTCAAGTAGCAGAGGTCTGAGTGGTGGATCTAAAGATTCAGACTGAGCAGGGGGTTGGACTAGATGACCTCCTGAGGTCTCTTCCAACCCTAATCTTCTATCATTCTATGATTCTGGAATAGTTGAACCACTATGTAGGAGACCATACAATTTCATGTGATGGAATTTGGTTTTTCAGGTTGCTTTTTTAAAAATCCAGGAAGTTACATACAAAAAACTACTTTACTATTAAGATTGCAAAGTCAAGCAGTCAGAAATTAGGAAATATCACAATAAAGTTGCCTGTGCATTCAGAACAAAAAGTGTTATAAGATGCTGAATTATCTAAAAAATCAGGACACAGGTATATCAAATTGGGCACCCCAAATTAGTACACACTTGATCTTAATGTCTCTGTGTCTCAGCTCCCCATCTGTATAGTAGGGATAATACTACCCCCTCATCTCAGAAGGATGTTGTGAAAATAAATCACTTAATGTTTGTGAAACACTCAGATGCTGTAATGTTAAGAGTCATAAAAAAGATCATGAGGAAATTAATAATTCTTTATTCAGAGCTGGTTTGAATAGTGTGCAATAAATAAGGCCTGGGACAATACAATGAACAATGAAGAGAAAGCAAAATATTGAATACCCACTCATTCAATGAGCACCATTCATCTTGTGCACTGAGCAAGGAAAAGATAATATATGATCATATAACTAACAGTTGTGTCATAAGGGGGTCAAATGTAGGTCGCATGGGCAACCTTAATTTTGTCATTTTCTAACTTCTGAGTGCTTGACCTCACAACCTTAACGTTCTTTCACGTTCATTTTTTTGTGAGTGATGTATATCTATAACACACACTATATTATTTATACATGCATATGTGCACAAACACATACAGATGGAAACAATCCCAAGCATAATCTTTCAACTCAGGATATATATCATTTTGAGCTCTGGATGTATATTATTTTATATCCCAGTAATAAAGCACTGAATATAAGGGTTTAGAATTGAAAAGCTGATAGATCATTAACTACAGGAATGGATGGGGCCTGCTCTAATACTGAATATGCTAACATGTGAAAAATAAGACTATAGAGACAAACTTAATTACAAGTTCTTTTAAAACTACCTGTTTTGCTGTTTCAATCAGAGCAGCAGCTTCAGCCTTGCCCACTTGTTGCACCATCTTGTAGAACAGGCTCTCTTTTTCTTGTAGCAAGATGTATGGCTCATTATATTCTTTCAGTCTTCCTGCATCTAAAACCTGTTAATGAGCAGCAACACACCTATTAACACATGAAATTCTGAAACAACATATTATAGGTAATTCACTACAATAGTAGGGCTGGTAGGTGGGGTTTTTTAGGCTGTATTCTTTGATTAAATGTTAAAATGCATTATATGGATTGAAGGTTGGATATTCTAATATCCTTTCAGTGGGCGCATGGTATATTTTCTGTTTCTAGACCAGGGAAGATACCTACCCTGACTCTATTCTTTACTCGTAATAAAGATGAGGTACTAGCAGAGATAGAGGTGTCAAAAGAAGAAGTGCTAGAACAAATTCATCAATTAAAAAGCATTAAGTTGTTACGTCAGCAGTACACGCTCAAGAATTTTGAAAAAAAATTCAGAGTAAAGTCGGTGAGCTGCTAGGAAAAATGTGCAGGCTCTCGTTACAATCAGCCACTCTGCTAAAGAACTAGAAGGTAGCAAATATTGTACATATATATATTAAAAGATACTGACTGGGTGATTTCAGAAATTACAGACTGTGAAGTCTTACTACTTTCCTTGGTAATTTGATCAAAATGATAATTAAAAATAGAATTATAAAGCACTTAGTAAATCATGATAAATTAGGATCTAACCACCTTGGCTTTTGCAAAGGAAAATTATGCCTCACAAATTTATTAGAATTCATAGAATCATAGAATATCAGGGTTGGAAGGGTCCTCAGGAGGTCATCTAGTCCAACCCCCTGCTCAAAGCAGGACCAATCCCCAACTAAATCATCCCAGCCAGGGCTTTGCCAAGCCTGACCTTAAAAACTTCTAAGGAAGGAGATTCCACCACCTCCCTAGTAACGCATTTCAGTGTTTCACCACCCTCCTAGTGAAAAAGTTTTTCCTAATATCCAACCTAAACCTCCCCCACTGTAACTTGAGACCATTACTCCTCGTTCTGTCATCTGCTACCACTGAGAACAGTCTAGATCCATCCTCTTTGGAACCACCTTTCAGGTAGTTGAAAGCAGCTATCAAATCCCCCCTCATTCTTCTCTTCTGCAGACTAAACAATCCCAGCTCCCTCAGCATCTCCTCGTAAGTCATGTGTTCCAGTCCCCTAATCATTTTTGTTGCCCTCCGCTGGACTTTTTCCAATTTTTCCACATCCTTCTTGTAGTGTGGGGCCCAAAACTGCACACAGAACTCCAGATGAGTCCTCACCAATGTCGAATAGAGGGGAATGATCAAGTCCCTCGATCTGCTGGCAATGGCCCTACTTATACATCCCAAAATACTATTGGCCTTCTTGGCAACAATGGCACACTGTTGACTCATATCCAGCTTCTCGTCCACTGTAACCCCAGGTCCTTTTCTGCAGAACTGCTGCCGAGCCATTCGGTCCCTAGTCTGTAGTGGTGCATTGGATTCTTCCATCCTAAGTGCAGGACTCTGCACTTGTCCTTGTTGAACCTCATCAGATTTCTTTTGGCCTAATCCTCCAATTTGTCTAGGGCCCTCTGTATCCCATCCCTACCCTCCAGTGTATCTACCTCTCCTCACAGTTTAGTGTCATCTGCAAACTATTCTAAAATGCATCAATAACATAGTAGATAAAGGAGAACTGGTTGACAATTTATTTGGACTTTCAAAAGGCTACTGAAGGAACTAAGTATGCACGGTAGAGATAGGAAGGAACGCACTAAGAGATAGAAAACAAAGAGTAGAAATAAATGGTCAATTTTTAACATGGCAAAAGCAGGATACCACGAAGTTCCATACAAAGATTGATGTTCAATATATTTATTTGTTGTGTGGAAAAGAGGTGAGTAGTGAGGTGTCAAAACTTGCAGATGGTACAAAATTATTCAGGTACGTCTAGACCAGAGAAGACTGTCAATAACTTCAAAGGACCCTACCAAACTAAATGAATGAGCACCACAATGGCAGATGAAAATAAATTCTGACAAATACAAAGTAATGCATATTGGAGGGAACACTTAACGACTCATGCATCCGATGAAGCGAGCTGTAGCTCATGAAAGCTTATGCTCAAATACATTTGTTAGTCTCTAAGGTGCCACAAGTCCTCCTTTTCTTTTAACGACTCATATACTCTACTGGATTCTAAATTAACTATATGACTCAGGAAAAAGACTTGGATATCATGGTGTACAAACTATATTCTAAGTTTAGTAGCAGTCAAGATAGCAAACAAAATGTTAGGATACAGAAGGGAATTGAATAGAAAATAATATAGAAAATATTTTTCTATTATATAAATCAATGATATGCACTCACCTGGAATACTCTACTCAGCTTTCAAAAAGGATAAAGCAGAAAGCCAGGGACAGATGATGAGAATGATTAGAGAGACAAAAACTCATATAGCGAGATGTTAAAGAAGTTGGGATTATTTACTTTAAAGAAGAGATGAATAAGAGGGAACATGATAAAAGTATTCAAAATAGTAAGTAGCATGGAGAAGGTAGCTCAAAGACCTGTTCTCCCTGTCTCATAACACAAGACCAGCAGACACTCAATGAAATTGAATGGTGGCAAATTCAAAATGAGGAAGAGAAAATTGCTTCATAAAATTCCTACCCTGCCTATAGTGCTCATTGTGACAATATATCATTGAGGCCAAGAGGTTAGGAGGATTCAAGAATGGATTGGATGTTTATATGGATAACAAGAATATACAGAATTATAATAGTAAATACTAAAAAAAGGTAGGAAGCAATATAAACGCTCATATTTCAGATTGTAAGTCGAACTCTTATTCTTAGGGGTTAGGAGGAAACTGCCCATGAAATAGGTAATTCCAGAACTTTTGGGTTTCTCATAGTTTTCTCTAAAGCTGCTAGTACTGCTGACTGTCAGTGACAGAAAACAGGATGAACTGGACCAATGGACTGATCCATGTGGCAGTCCCATCTAAGAATTAGGCATTGTTGATGCTTTCTGCTAATGTGTTTTAAACATCTGGACCTAGCATTGGGAAATTCAAACTCCCAGCTCTAAGCTACCAGTTAAATTATAATAGATTCATAGATATTAAGGTCAGAAGGGACCATTATGATCATCTAGTCTGACCTCCTGCACAACGCAGGCCACAGAATCTCACACACCCACTCCTGCGAAAAACCTCTTACCTATGTCTGAGCTATTGAAGTCCTCAAATCGTGGTTATACCAGTAATGTACCAGTTATTACACATTTAGAAGTATGATACATTATATTTGAACATATGATCATCAAGATCATATGCAGCAATTATTACAAAAAAAGTTTGCAGAGAAGTAGCCCATAGACTTTTTTCCATTTAAAAAAGCTTCTATAGTAAAGAAAAATGCAAAGTATATGCAATGAATTCCTCTAGAGAACAATATATACAGTACTGTTGTGTGTATGGATGTACAAAGTGTTAATGGAAAACTTTTGCAAGCTCAAGTTATATTACACAGCACATAAATCACTCTTACTCTATAATAAATGCTCAAAGTATGTCACCTGGGCAGGTATTAATTATACATGCAGATATTTCAATATTCTTACACCTATCATTATTAATTTGCATATTTAAGGATAAATTACAAATGTAATTTTCATTGCAATTTTTTATTTACTACAGTAAATCAAAGTTAAATGCAGCTTTCTTAAGCATTTAAGGATAAGTGAATCTATCTTATATACAGTACATACATAATAATTAAGATGACCTATGGCTTTCCAAGTTAGGTGCCTTGAATGTGCAATTTTTTTAAAGTATAGCACTTTGTTATGTAACCTCTCCTTATGAAATCAAAGACAAAGCATGTTCTCTAAATATAGGACACTTTCTCTCTCTCTCATGTGAAGAAGTATGTAGATAAAATGAAGCTATTTCCTATGCCCTGGTCTACACTACAAGTTTAGGTCGAATTTAGCAGCATTAGATCGATTTAACCCTTCACCCGTCCACACAACGAAGCCATTTTTTTCGACTTAAAGGGCTCTTAAAATCGATTTCTGTACTCCTCCCCCGACGAGGGGATTAGCGCTGAAATCGACCTTGCCGGGTCGAATTTGGGGTAGTGTGGTCGCAATTCGACGGTATTGGCCTTTGGGAGCTATCCCAGAGTGCTCCATTGTGACCGCTCTGGACAGCGCTCTCGACTCAGATGCATTGGCCAGGTAGACAGGAAAAGGCCTGCGAACTTTTGAATCTCATTTCCTGTTTGGCCAGCGCGGCAAGCTGCAGGTGACTGCGGATCTCATCAGCAGAGGTGACCATGATGAAGTCCCAGAATCACAAAAGAGCTCCAGCATGGACCGAACGGGAGGTACGGGATCTGATCGCTGTATGGGGAGACGAATCCGTGCTATCAGAACTCTGTTCCAAAAGATGAAATGCCCAAACGTTTGAAAAAATCTCCAAGGGCATGAAGGACAGAGGCTATAACAGGGACCCGCAGCAGTGCCGCGTGAAACTTAAGGAGCTCCGGCAAGCCTACCAAAAAACCAGAGAGGCAAATAGCCACTCAGGGTCAGAGACCCAGACATGCCGCTTCTATGATGAGCTGCATGTCATTCTAGGGGGTAGAGCCACCGCTACCCCACCCCTGTGCTTTGACTCCATCTATGGATTATCACACAACAGGGATGCACATTTTGGAGATGAGGAAGATGATGAGGAGGAGGAGGAGGTTGAGGATAGCGCACAGCGAGCAAGCGGAGAAACCGTTTTCCCCGAGAGCCAGGAACTGTTTCTCACCCTGGACCTGGAGCCAGTACCCCCTGAACCCACTCAAGGCGGGCTCCCAGACCCGCCAGGTGGAGAAGGGACCTCTGGTGAGTGTACCTTTGTAAATATAATACACAGTTTAAAAGCAAGCGCGTTTAATGATTAATTTGCCCCGAAGACTTGGGATGCATTCGCGGCCAGTACAGCTACTGGAAAAGTCTGTTAATGTGTCTGGGGATGGAGCGGAAATCCTCCAGGGACATCTCCATAAAGCTCTCCTGGATGGTCACTCCTCATGGTCACCTGGTTGAA